CACACACACACACACACACACACACACAAATATACACACAGGCTTTTACGAGTGTAAGCCAAGCAAATCCTTTCGGATGCGTCTTCGTGGTGTGTGCAGTTGTTACACACAAAACTGGTCGCCTTGACGACCAGCAAACTGGCCACATCTTCAGGAGAGCCGATGAAGTGTTTCTCAAAGATTGCCTCGTCCTGGACGTCACGAGAGCAACGTGACACGATGAAGCCTTTTTCTGCTCAAGTTGAATTGTGTGAAGATGCTCGACACACACACACATACACACACACACACTTGCATCGAAAACGAACAACAGACCGAGTTTATTCTGTCTACTTTCTCAAGTGCCTCGGTTTCTCAGAATTGAATGTGCCAGAAACCCTGTCTTCAATGAGTTCGTGAATTGAGCTGGATCGAGTCCCGATGCGAGTTCTCGATCCTGACCACTTGACACATCGTCGATGTATGTTGCGAGTGGAGAAGCGGCCTAATCTTCATCGGCTGGCCGACTTGGCACGAAGAAGATGGCGTCAAGTGCCTGCGAGCGCTCGAGTCCGGGTCCGAGTCCCGACGGAAGATGAGCGAGTCGGAGTGGGCGTCAAGTCAAAAGGGGACGAGCAAATGGGGACAAAGACAAACCTTGCGTCGGGCCGAAGAGCAGTCCGACGAGGAGCAGCTCTCGAGCCAGCAGGCCGGGCAGTCGGGCCGACAGGCCGTCGTGGGCGTGGCCGCGGCCTCGGAGCCGCCTGCGTTGCGGCGGCGGACGGGACTCGGCGAGAGGAGGACGAGACGAGCCGACCAGCGTCGGCGGCATGACGCGCCGGAGCGCGGCAACTGGCGTCACGTCGGCCGGAACTGGTGTCCGCAACGCGACGTTTCAGATCACCGGTTCGAGGGGTCCGAGATCCTATCGTCAAAGTAGCGAAAAAGTGGTTCAAGCTCGAGTGAGTTGAGGATCTCAAAGTCCCAGTTCCGGCGTCGGGGATCCGCGATCCGCGATCCGCGATCCGAGATCCGAGATCCGAGATCCGGGCAGCCACGGATGCGTAGTCCGCGGTTTGAGCTGGCAGCTTCGAGGGTCGCGGTATCGTCGCCAAGACGGAGTGATCCGTTAACCGCCGGCAGCAACTGGCGCTTGAGGCGAGGTGTGTTTTGTGTGGCCACAGTTCACACGACCAGTTGCCACAGCCAAGGCCCAGTTGTCATTGCCCCATGCGCTGATGTCTACCAGGCCAGTCGGTCGCACTGACAGCGTGTGTGTGTGTGCGCAATGCGTCGGCACGGCTACGAGGGAAGAGGGAGAGAGTGTTGGCGAAAAGACTCTATTTTTCACATGTTGCACACACGACACGTACAACAGGCGACTTGGCGACATGCCGGCAAAACGCCGGGTTGGTAGGGCAGCACAGACACAACAACACACACACACACACAAAATCGCGTCTAGCGGAGACCGGAGAGATGCAGGTCTGCGAGGCAGCGGAGGCGGCATGCACACAAGCCAATAGGTGAGCGCACAACGGGATTAAAGTGGGCGGTTGGGGAGAGAGGGGGGACATGTGAATGGAGAGCAAAGTGGATGAATGTACCGTTTAGTGGATTAGCGACAGAATGGGCGGAAGATGAGGCCACTCCGAAAAAGGTGGTAAGTGGATGAAAGCGTGTATAGATAGACGCGGCTTGCTGTATCATCCTCGATTGATGGACGATGTTGAGCTTTCTGCAAGTTTGTACGCATTTCTCGGTCGGTCACATGCGCGGCACCCACGACGCAGTGTTGTGTGCATGCGAAAGCGCCTCGGCGGGACTCGAACCGTCGAGGTGCGGCTCGAAAAGGGTCCCGAGGGTTGTCGAGATGGCCGCGGTGACCAAGTGAATGGCGACTGTTTTGCACCGACTTTGCCCACTTTTCACATGCCGGCTCTTTCGTCTGTCTTGTTGCGCCTGTGTCGTCGTGTGGTTTGTTGGGCTGTCGTTTTTTCCTGTCTATCCTCTTGTCTATTGTCGTGTTGTGTGTGTTGTCGTGCGTCACAGCGGTCGGATCACACAAACCGGCCAATCGGCGACCAGGCCATTCATGCCGGCCGTCTCCTTTGAGCCGACTCTCGAGGCAGTGACCTGCCGAACTGACGTACCGGCGAAACGAGGTCAGAAGTAGCGCTCCTTTCGATGGAGCTCGAGTAGCAAGTTGGGAAAATCAGGCCATCCGCTTCCTGGCCTGACGTGAGAGTTGTTGATGAGGCTGGGGCAGTTGAGAAAACGAGTAAATGAATAAATAAATGAACAAAGTCATTTAGTAAATATTGCCGGAAAGAAACATATTACGCATGATTAATAGAAATGATTGCTATTTTTCTTTTTCTCCTCAAAAAAAAACAACCAATTAATTGACTCTGAAGCAGTGACTAAATGCATAAACTTGTAAACAAGTAAAAAATGTTTACAAAAAATGAATTAATTGATTGCTTGTTGAAAAGATGAAACCGAAAGAAGAAATAATGAGTGGATAAATGAATGAGGAAACACATTAGTGAATAGCTGAATGGAAAAATTGGAAAATGAATAAATACATTCATAACTGCCAATTGATGAGTTGTCGTTGAACAGAGAATCTATAGACGAATAGATGTACCAATCAAATATGCATCTGATTGTCTAGTTATTGAATGATCGAATAAATTGACTAATTAATTAAGTAATTAATTAGTTAATAAACGGTTACATGATTGTTCTACTGCTGAACAGCAAAAGCCTGTATGATTGACTGGATGACAAATAATGCATATGATTAATTAACTAATTATCTAATTAGGTAATAGAAAGTAACAAGGCATAATTTTGTTTTTAAACAGAAAATAAATGAATGCTTGAGTTAACGACGCTCAATGCATTACGCTTTCCAATAAATGTTAAACCTACAACCGCATGCTTTACAGTCAGAAGAGTATTTTTCTCCAAATTTGCCACCTCCAACTCACGCTGGAAGTGTGAACCACTCTTTAGTGGATCTCGTTTTGTATGAATTTAACTGACGAATCTCCTCCATTTTGTGAGCGAGATTCTGTTCTCTATTCACCAAGTTCCTAGCACCAGTTGAAGGAGCATTGAAGACTTGTTGTAGATACGAGAAGCAAGATGATGTGGCCTTTTATCTGGTCACTGACTTGCTCGTCTGCGCGAACTTGATGCAATCTCGCTTTCTCCACTTGATCGACACTACAAACTCACTTCGAAGAGCCTTTCCCTGAAACCTTGCAATTGCAGTCTCATCTTTCATTTCGTCCGATGAACATCCATTCGACAGACTAACAATCTGGGCCATTCGGTGACTGGCTGCAGATTCAAGCAGAGCATGACTGCTGACGAATGAAGCTGACGACTCAGAGATCACTTCAATGTCTCGAGATGTAGCTGTAGCAGATCAGATGCTGGAGGATCACGCAAAGGCAGAAGAGGCGACAAAGAATGGACTCTTTTAACTGCCTCTGTTAACACGATCAAACTCTGCAGACGAGTAGAAACAAACAAACTAAAGAACTACTCGTAGTTTTTAAGTAGTCAGTAGCATACATTTATTGAAAATTACAAGTTTGATTCCCGTTCAGGAGTGATAATGAGACTTCAGCGAAATCGAAACAGGATTTCAGTGCATGCCAATTCAGTTGGGCTTAAATTACATTTTGGACTCTTTTAAATGCCTCTGTTAACACGATCAAGCTGGACAGATGAGTAGAAACAAGCCAATTAATGAACTACTCGTATTTTTTTAAGTAGTCAGTAAATCTTTACTCAAAATAGCAATACCCTTGATGTTCTAACAAGCATACATTCATTGGAAATTACGAGTTCGATTCCTATTCAGGAGTGATAATGAGACGTCAGCGAAATCGAAACAGGATTCTAGTCCATGCCAATTCAGTTTGGCTGAAATTACATTTTGGACTCTTTTAAATGCCTCTGTTAACATGATCAAGATGGGCAGAT